CCCCAAAACCCCAAAACCCCAAAACCCCAATATAAAAATGATCTAATTAGGTTCATTAGAAGAGAATAAGCTTTTTAATAAATTGATTAATTGAAATTAAATGAATTGAAAATGTGAGATCAATAAAGTAGTTGAACTTCTTCTTTTTGTGCTTACTCCTTATTTTCCATTTCAACTTCACTATCCTATCTCTAATAAATAATTTCATTCTTTTTGCTGTTTAATATTTTCTTAGCTATAACTACTCCAAGTATCATGATAACACATATCAAAAGGCAAATATTGAGCTTTTAGCTGTATTAAATTTCCTTTCTTCTCTCTGAATATTGAATTTCTTCCTTTTCACTTGTCTCCACTAGTTAATCATTTTGAACTTCTGTTTAGATCATTGAAATTGCATCTTATTCTTGAAGTAACCTCCTTCCATTTCCAGAGCAGTTTTCATTACTATTCGATTCTTCGTTTTAATTAGAATAAAATCTAGTTTAGCGTCTATTTGCAGGAGCAAAAGAAAGAGTCAAAGGTTTAAACTATACACAGTTGATGATGTAAACACCTCTTCTCAATCCAATTGTTACTAGCTTTAATCTAATCAAGGTTTGGAGAGTTTATGAGACATTATATATTTGTATCTCAGCAGCATTGGCATCTGGTAAATATGAAGCGGTGCATTAAAGATTTTCTAGAGCGTCAGGGCTATTATCATATGGTGGATTAGCTGCAATAGTGTTGTTAACTTGATTGAAGTCGAAGATCTCAGAGCAATTAAATAGCTACTCTGGATTTCCAAATATTTATGATACTTAAGAATTCCAATTCACATTCTAGAAACTCACCTGAACATTGTCGCTTTAACTTGAAAGATAAGCTGTATATCTAAGTGCACAATAACATCTGCCTGTATTTGGATCTAAGGAAGTTTATGCATCACATGTTAAACATTTTGCTGCAGAATCACACAACTAGCAATTTCTTTGACATCTCACACATTATCTAGATTGGTTATTTCCATAGTATCCATCAAGACAATTTGCAACACAAGATACAGTACCGTTGCCATCAATTTATTTATAGTATCCTTCTCCACATCTATTACAACCAATAGAGTCGTTGCAGGATTAGCAGTTTTAAGAGCAGTTTTGACAAGATAAGGATTTTTCGTCATAGAAAATACCTGGTCCTTAGCAAGATCTTCTGCAGCTTACATTATCTCCGGATTGGATTAATACAAAACCTTCTGGACATTGAATACATTAAGCTGGTTTAGAGATGCAATCCTAGCATCTAGTTTGATTATTGCAGTATCCTGTACATTAACCTGTCTTATCACAAAGCGCACATCCTCTTGGACACAAAATGCATTAATCTCTCTATGCTGAGTAAAATGTGCCATCGGGACAATAAGAGGCATTATAGACACAAGATTTCTTTAAGATTTTCTATACATCTTCCTCCTTGATATCTGAGAATTGTGAGGTAACTTTAATATATGGAGCTGCACAAGAACTGCAAGTATCTCTAGAATTACATCTCTAGCAAGGAGCAGCACAGTTAGAGCACTAGTAATACTTAAGATAGTCTTAGCTTAGGAATGAGCCAGCAGGGCATGTGTTAAAGCATGAAGATCTTCCTTTATAGAACCCTTCACTGCATGTCCAACAATTAGACTATGGGGCACAAACATCGCAATTTTTAGTTAAACAAGCTTTACATTCTCTGCCTGCATTACTAGAGTAATAGCCTTTAGGACAGATTGAAACGCATCTAGTTTAACTTGTAGTTTAATTCAGTAGGGTGTAAGATAGTTTTGAGCATTCATCGCAATCCTAAGATGAAGAGCAGCTTAGACAATATGGACTACATCTGAGACATCTATTTTAAGTCAGATTGTAGTAGAATCCTGTTTAGCATTTTACTTCGCCACCTAATGACTAGTTTGCTTCTACGCACACTCCACTTTAAAGTACATAACCATCAATGCAAGATGTGCAGTTATTTTAATTTCTAGTGCATGAAGTACAATTATCTGAACAATTCTAGCATTAACTTCTTTGGTTTACGAATTGGTTGCTCTCACAAAGGTTATTAACGCAATCTCCATTTTAGAGTTGATAATATGAACTGCATTGCTAGCAAGTGGCTTGATTAGAACATCTATCGCAGTTAGTCTTGCATGAGCGGCACCATCCACCAACTTAGTAGTATCCACCTGGGCAGTTATTAACGCATCTTAGATATCCTTAGACTTTCTATGTTTATTCATTTATACTTTTTGCTGAACATAGTGCCTTTTAGAACCACCAGAAGCATTTGTAGTTAGGGTTACCTGAACATTATCCACAATCTGGATCGCACAAAACACATTAGGACTTGTCATAGTCAGTGAAGAAATCAACGGGACATTGCTCTACACATTAGAATGGACCACTAAGATATCTCTATTATCGTCTTTGATTATAATTGGAGAAAAGCTTGAAGTATCCAAAAGCACAATCAAGGCAAGTTCTGGTTTAAGGGTCGCATGATGAGCAATTTTCTGGGCAATCAGCACATTAAGAAGTTGGTATGTCATACACTTAATTGGCTTCACAAGGATTCAATAGACATGTATTTGTATCATTTTCAACTGGCAAAAGTATATATCCTTGTTGACAAGCTCTACATTATCCTGTCGACGAGTCGCAACTAGTACAGTTAGATGAGCAATTAAATTTAGCCTGATTTTTTCCACTTTCATTTTAGAAGTTATCCGATTCATTCGACTAAATGGGGATAACTAAGGTCTAATTATTGGCCTAGTAAATGGCAAGGGTCTATTCCTCATTAGGACAATTAATGAAAACAAAGTTGCTAAGATTAAGACTCAAATCAAAGACTCTTTGATTAAGAGCATTGACAACTTCTTCTTGTAAATTCATTAATTTGATTCTTAAATATTAAGTATTATCTGCTGATTCATTATCAGATCTCAAAAAGATTGTCTAGTTTTGCTGATTTATTTGAATCATTTCTGCAGTGCAAGTTAGCAGATCTTGAGTAAAGAAGACTGTTTACCAGTCAACATCAGTATCATTGAAAGTCTAAATAGAAATCAAATCACTACAGTCAACAGCGCTCTCAGTTTAGTTATCTTAAAGATATTATCCATTATATAGAGCATTCTGTAAGTCTAATTATAGAGAAAAGGGGCTTCCATAATCTACTAGATTTTAGTCATTTATAATTGTCAGATTATAATCATAATTACATACTCCATATACTAATCCATATCCACCTGGTTTTCTTTTCCCAGCAAGTAGAATTGAATTTACGTTCTCTGACTAATTATTGTTGCAGTAATCTTGCTCAGAAGTGCATTATAAACCTTAATAAGTAACAAGCAATTCAGGAGCACCATAGCATTATAGATCCACAACAGAATAGTCGTAAGCCAATTCAATATCATCATTAAGGAATGCTTGGAACACATTTTCTGTCATATTGCTGATCTCTAAAATATTGACATAAGATCCATTGCCTGTAGGCTTGACTATGTAAAAGATTTAGTATAGTTGGCAAGTTAACAAATCCACCTCGGGTGCCAATTATTCAATCGTCTGAGAGTCAGCAAATATAAAGAACAACAAGTCAGTGCAGTTGATATCATTTGAAAATAAATCCTGACTCAGATCAAGCTAGGTGTAGACGCTCAGCTTGTATGTATTAGTGACTGTGTCGTTTGTATCGCTTGTGACTGGTATTTGTTCTGCTTCTACTTTATAGTTGAAGAAGCAATTGCAACTATTATCACTTGGATTTAACCATGAGTAAAGATTGCACTAAGTACATATGCCATTGCTTTCATATTAATCACATCCAATTGGAGCAAAGATTTACCCAGAACTTGAAGTTGGTTGAGGAGGCAATGTAGTTTCTTCTGGTGATAAAGTGACATTAGGCGATTGGGTTGGTCCAATGGTGATTATTGGCTCAGTTGTTTCACCTGGCTCTGTTACATCTGGACTTTAAGTAGGTTCTAGTGTATAAGTCTACTCTGTTGTTGAAGCTACTTCTGTAGGTACTAATGTTTCTGTAGGTCCTTAAGTTTCAGTGGGATATGTTGACTCTGAAGGCTCAACAGTTTCTGTCGGCTCAATAGTTTCTGTAGGCACTGTAGTTTCTGTCGGTTCAATAGTTTCTGTAGGCACTGTAGTTTCTGTTGGTAACTCAGTTATATTGGAGCTTGAGGTTGGTTCAATAGTAAATGTCACTTCTTGAGTAGTTGTTGGTACATTTTCACTTGTCGGTACTGGTGTAACAGTAGTTGTCTATTCAGGCTCCTAAGTTGTTTCAGGAGGAAAATCTGTCTCAGGAGGAGGGCCTATGGTGAATGTTGGAAAATCAGTCACTGGTGGCAAAGGAATCTCAGTAGGGCATTCCTATACTGGATCATCAGGGTACAGATACCCCGGTGGCTCAGGTTGAGGGTTCAGATTTTGAAGTACTCTCTTTGGCCCCTTCAGATTACCGTTCTCGAGCGATCCAATTACTATTTCTGACTGTTACCTAAAATAATTTTTCAACACCAGATTTATAAGGAAGTATTAATTAGAATAATAGTGTACAGATTTTAACTTACCACGTAGAAACCAAGTAGTATCTATAGTGAGCTCGAGTGATCCATTTCCAATTAATAGTGGTTAACAAATTTCGCTTTTGACTGATCTCTGATTATTAGCTATTCCAACCGTATGTAAAAGCAACTTAAATCTTACTCTGAAATTTGAGCCTAAACTTAGCTCATCACTGCAATGGATGATATGAGCAATATAAGAATATAGGTCAAGCAATTCTTGCGGTCCCGAATCATTATCTTACTCTAATGATCAAATTAAATTTTATAGTAGAAGATAAAGGAATTTAATCTTTAAATATTATAGCAAAGTCTATTTATAGTATCGTGCCTTTTCTATATTTCTATTTTAAAACACTCTAAATTTGTTAAATCCTTCCTTTTGGGGTTTTGGGGTTTTGGGGTTTTGGGG